AATCGGCGAGCGATGAAGATGGATCGGAGGAGGCGCACTAATGTAGACTTCCCGGAGCGGTAGATGAGCAGCAGGAGCGGAGGCCCTTTGTTGAAGGGCGTTCAAGCGAACATCTGAAATTTTGAAAATAAAATATAAAATACTTGTCTAGAATTGATGTAATATTTTATGTAGTATTTTTATATAGTAATATTTTTTAGCTTAAGTTATTTTTGATAGTTTTTGTTGTTGAAAAAATTACATTTCTTCAATTGTGAGATCAAACCAGAGGAGGATCTATGTACGGGTTATGGTAGAGTGAAGCCCAGGGCAACTTAGAAAATTTTCAATTTTTTCAGTGTAAATTTTTTCATTTTCACGTTTATCCCACCCCTCTAATTTTCAAGTCCAGTATAACTCCTATTCAGCCCAAGGAATCTCAAATTCCTGGATCAAACAATATTATTGTGCACTATTTTTAACGATGTTTTTTTTTAAATACAATGATTTTTTTAACACCGTACCCAACTTTGGGTTGCAAGATCCACCACGTTAATTTGAATCCAACGCCTGAAGACGAGTTTTAGAACTCCATAAGCCTTGATCTTCGCCCTGATGAGCCTCAGGCCAGAACAATAACAGCAGACCGTTTTGGTAGCAGTCTTGATATGAATCGTAATTTGTGTTCTTGTAATGGGTTAGTTCTTCTTGCGTTCGGAAAACACATTATCTTGTGGAACCCACTTATAAGACGGTCTACCAAAGTTCTTGAGCTTCAACGGCTCCAAATGTTTAAGCCCGGAGGGCTTTGTTACGATCCAACCTCTAAAGATTACAAGGTTGTTTTATTACTTTTTCAGATTTCTATAATTGACAACATTGGTGTTCAGTATGCCATTTTTTCAGGCTTGAAAAACAAAGGGTGGCGAAAACTGTCCTTCCCTTTTAAATTCTGTACAAGCCCAAGAGCAGGTGTCAACTTCAACAATACTCTCCATTGGATAGTAAGACACGCATTTATGAGTCCTTCTTTTAGTCCAGTCGATGTCGATATGGTGATTTATTATGACCCGGTTGATGATGCTTTCGAACGATTGCCCACCCCTAGACCGAATTGTTCCGAAGAGGACAACTACATAGATGGTACACAAATCATAGAGGGATGTTTCTGCTTGGGTCAAAGGAATGAAGAGAGGAAAACCATCTAAGTGTCAGTTATGAAAGAATATGGGAACCCAGAGTCTTGGGTCACAATCTTTTCCATCTCCATTTTGGGACTTGGACTGTACTATATGCACAACCTCACATTTTTTCCCTAGATAATGGCAGGACCTTAACCATTATGTGTAAAGAGTACAGGAGAATATATGTTTATAATGTGGAAGAAGACAAAGTAGAAGAGAGGTTCACTATACCAGAAGATGAATATGATAAGGGCATGGTTGGAATGTGTTTCTATGCTCAAAGTTTTGAATTGCCATATGGAGTAATCTGGAGGAAAGGTGATCGGCATAAATGCAGGTTTAATTTCAATTAACACGTTTAGGAGTATTTGATTTGGGCCTTGTATGATTAAAAGAATACATTAATTGTTGCTTCTAGCGATAAGTATGTGTATATCACAAGACTAACTGTTAGATGGATACTAGCTAATTCAAGAACTGAGCATTATTTATGGCCTGGATGTCTATGATGCCTTTATATAAATGATCCGTTTTTTCCAGGTTGGTTCATATTTTTTCCAATTGATGTTATTTTGAGTATATGTTTCAATCCTACCATATATTGAGAGTAAATAAATGTCAATCTAGCTTTTTTTGTTCGAGAGAAAGTTCAGCTAATGCCTTCCAATCACATTAGTAGAGGGACTATATTGTAGGAAAAGAACTGTCCTGGAAAAATATATAACAAGTCACTTGGAAAAATATATAACAAGTAAATTGGAAATACAAAAGAAAACACAACTTTTTTTGCTGCATGGTTGGCTGCCGGTAAGGTCCAGTCAGCAATCATCTCACACTGCAAGATGATTGAAAAAGTTGAAGATCATGAACCTAGGACATAATGAAACGCTGCTCTGTCCTTCCTCCATAAAAAAACAATGATTTTCCCATTAGCAGAGGGAAAGGGCAATGCCTATTCCCTTGTGGAAAAAACAGGGAATGATTCTATTTCTTGTCATCTTTGGATGTTCTCATCACCATCCCTTTCTTTAATTTTTTACGGTTGAACAGTTGACCTGGTTTCCTAAAATTCCATCTTAAATTTAATTATATACATGGAACCTTTGACCTATGTAGCATGGAAACTCTAGGGAAAGAGTACGTTTTTCGTTTCGGAAATTCTACGAAAACTTTTTGAGAACTCTCCAAATAAGTCTTTTTAAGCAAAAATTGTCGTTTCCCGTTTTCCGTTTTCTCATGTACAATAATTTCAGAAATACGAGTCTGCCATTTCAATATGATCACTAATTTAGAAATCAAAAGTGCTATTTTTCCTATATTTATTCATTCTCTCTTTGTTGACTTTGTTCTTAGTATGTTTGCATTATTTTGTTAATGATATACGGAGTACGTTGCGCTTAGGCTTAAAAAAATTTTAAAAAAATAAGATATACGGAGTACGTTTTAGTCAAGATAGATACATTAGTGTATTTATCGTTTTGATATGTGAGGTGTGATGCTTAAGATGTTTTTACTTGGATTGTAATTTGTCCAGAAAAAGATCAGATCAGGCCAGACCAAATGTAGATAGTTATAAAAATATAAAGAAACTAGACCAGACTAAACCAGCATATTATAGTCCAAGGTAAAAACATCCTTATTAAACAACACTTTAACACATCAAATGCGTTTACTAAGCAGATATTTATTAAAATATTGTATACCTCACATGTGTTAATAATATGACGCCAAAATTAATTCGGATTTTTACAATTTGACTTTTACAATCTTTTAGGTGAAAGTTTGACATTAAATATCTAAAGATCTATAATTATACTTGCTTATTATGAAATCTATAATAAATTAGCATTTGGATAATATACGAAGCATATTGCAATGAAATACGGAGTATATGAAAATAATTTTGTGTGATTAAGTAGTGTGATTTTTAAAAAAAAATAGAATTATGTGAATGATAATAATTGATAAAGTAAGAATAAAATAGAAATGAATCAGAACCACACAAATATTGGGGGTGTTTGGTAAACGATGTTTTAGCCGAAAAATATTTGACCACTTTCAGTTTTTAATAAGTGAAAAAGTTGTTTGGTAAACAACGGTTCGGCATTAACGTTTTGGACGAAAACGCTGCTATAGGAGAGTTTTGAGTTGGCATTTTGCAAAAAATGGCATTTTCTAATAATTATATGGTCAAAAAGCTAAATTTCCAAATATCTTCCAATTTATTCCACTAATCAAACCCGCTGACTGAATTCGTTATTCACAAACCACCGTTAACATAACTCGTCGTCTGCTAACAGTTAACCGCTGAATGTCAAACACGCTTATTATCAAATACAAATATGATACAAAAGAATTTTAGTGAGAGAGAAAGAAAAATATGATAATTACCTAGTTAGTTAAATACGGTACGGGAATTAAACGAGGTTTAATATGTACGTGTTTTATTCGGCAACATGAATGAAAAACACAGTCAAAAATTCGTTGAAAAAAACGTTGACTTTTAAAAAACATGTAAATATGTATACGTGTATAATACGTTATCTACTACAAAAATTCGGACGAAAAATACGGGTATTATTTTGAACATCTAAATGATATATTTCATAAAATAACATATATAGTAAAAAAGAAATAAAAGTATACACATATTCAAGTAGCAAATCTCATTACTACATACAAGAATAGTTCATAATTGCATAAGTCGATGACAAAAATAAAAACAGTAATCAAGTCTGGGACATAATTTTGAAAAATAATGTCAAAAAATCATTATCTTTATATGATCATTATCTTTATACTCAAGTTAAACTCATCATTTTCATTAAGATGACATATGACAAAAGTTGTGTGATTGCTACACTTATTATTGTTTGTGTAAAAGCTTATGCTAAAAAAATGTTAGGTTTAGCAAAATCTTAATTTTGATATGCTAGCTTAAAAAACATCAGAAATCATGTAGTATATTACTACGTAAGTTTTAGTATTTCAGGATGCTAACTTTAGCCATAATGCAATTAATTTTAGTATTTAATAATTGCACTGTAACAATACAAAAACATGAGATCATAGGGTGTACGTTTTCATTTTTACTTTTACACTATTGTTGATCTTCTATGCATTTAGTGCATGCATTCAATTGGTCAATTCATGTTTATGTTTTTTGTAAAATACGGGAAAAATACGTTTTATACGGGAAGTGGGAGTTTTTTTCCTTTTTGTGATTGCTACACTTATTATTGTTTGTGTAAAAGCTTATGCTAAAAAAACGTTAGGTTTAGAAAAATCTTAATTTTGATATGCTAGCTTAAAAAACATCAGAAATCTTGTAGTATATTACTACGTAAGTTTTAGTATTTCAGGATGCTAGCTTTAGCCATCATGCAATTAATTTTAGTATTTAATAATTGCACTGTAACAATACAAAAACATGAGATCATAGGGTGTACGTTTTCTTTTTTACTTTTACACTATTGTTAATCTTCTATGCATTTAGTGCATGCATTCAATTGGTCAATTCATGTTTATATTTTTTGTAAAATACGGGAAAAATATGTTTTATACGGGAAGTAGGAGTTTTTTTCCCTTTTAAACGGACTGACATTTCCTCCCTTTTTAAACGTGTTTTTTTGATAAAAAAAAACGATACGTGTTTAAAACGTGTTTAAAACGTGTTTAAAATGGAACATGGAGCTGGTATAATCATTTAGTACATAATTTAATCGTAGGATTTGATTTCTGAGGAACAAAATTTGAATCGAACTAGTCGTATACGCAACAAAATGAGTCCATACCTTAATAATAATGTTATACTCCGTAATAATGATTTAAAACCAGGAATACAATACTGTGGAGGACCCAATACTGTCTGCAACTTTTCTCAAACATCTTCGGAATAAAAATGAGGGAGAATTGATCCGACGACAGTACAATCAAACCTCAAAAACCAGAAAGCGGGTGAAGCGCAAGTCAAGCGACGATGGTGGCTCTGAAAGAAGGGAGCAGGCCACCATGGGTTGGCCTTGGAGCGGCGGTTTGGGTTCAAATAGCCGCAGGGAATGCCTACACTTTCCCTCTCTACTCCCCTTCTTTGAAATCAGTCCTTGGTTTCAGCCAGCAGCAGCTTACCATTCTCGGAGTGGCCAATGATATTGGGGAAAATGTGGGGATTCTTCCAGGGATAGCCTCCAACAAGTTCCCACCCTGGTCTATCCTCCTTGTTGGAGTTGCTTGCTCTTTCTTTGGCTATGGCGTTCTTTGGCTTGCTATCAGTCAGACTGTTCAATCCTTGCCTTACTGGCTTGTAAGCCCTTTCTATTCTTCCTTCCATCTCAAAGATTGAATCTTTTAATTTCTTTTTTCCATTTCTGTTACAGGGTTGTTGGGATCTAGTTCGAATATAGTAAGTAGAGAATATGATAGAGCAATAATGTAATAAGTCTCTCTTCTCTGGTGTGAAAAGTGTATGAACTTTCATTGGAGCTCATAAAGTACTTCAGTTTGTCTCCCGAGGCTTACGAGTACACTAACTTATATTAGAGCTATAGTAATTCTTCTACATGTTTAAGCCGTTGAGTTATGGTACATCCCACAAATTGAAATGTTTGTAATGTTTTAGTTGATGATATATATGTTGAGATATTGTAAAATTATGAATTGCAAAACACGGGATAAAACTAGTAGTTGAATAAGTAATTGTGAATGTTAGGTGTTGAATTCATGCGGATTTCGACAATATAATTATAGTACATTAACTTCGTTTCGCTTGTAGATTTCACAAGATTTCTGTGTAGTACTATATCGTTGTTTCCATTAGATTAAGCTCAACATGTATAATGTATATACTTGAAAAAAGTACTGTAATGACTCCAAAAAAAGTTGAAGCACTTCCTTAGATCCGATGTAAATTGATATACTTGTTATATCCTCAGATCCGATTTGAATTGATGTAATTTCTACTCCAATCAGATCCGATGTAAACTGATGTACTTTTTGCTCTGTCAGAGGCAAGTTGGGGTGTTTAACTATTATATTAGTTCTAATGTAAATTGTTGTACTATTTATTAAAGTATTTCCTACACTGGTAAAATATAAAGTAACAAAGTGATATGTTAAACTTTTAAGGTTACTCCTATCAAACTGATCCATAATCATGTTGTGGACCCTCTATTAAAAATGAAAACACAATTATAAAAATGACAAACAAAGGGATATTGCCTGAGACTACCTTGTAGATAGAGAAAAAGTGATTCCTCTATTGATTATTCAAGGTTTCAGCTTCAAGGTCGATATTTGGTGTATGTTTTTAAGAATATGCAAATCCTGCAAAGAAAAGTAAATTTGATAGTATATATTTAGTGTTAATAGAGATTTCCGTGCTGTGATAGACTTGATGTCGTTTATTCAATTTATGTTTTGTAAATCGATGTGAAACTTGTGCAATGCAAGTGTATTTGAAAATGAAAAAACAAGAGCTAACGAAACAAAGAAAGTAATTATTGTATGACTTCATTGTTCTCATTGAGCTTCTCGTGTACTTGGACAGTTATGGATTGCACTGTGTATAGCCACAAACAGTAGTGCATGGCTTGGGACAGCTGTGCTTGTTACCAACATGAGGAACTTTCCTCTCAGCAGGGGAACAGTTGCTGGTATACTCAAAGGGTATATTGGTATAAGTGCCCAAGTCCACACTGAGGTATTCACTATGGTTCTTGATCAGTCAGCGTCCATGTTAATTCTTTACCTCACACTGGGAATTCCTATTATATGTTTGTTGATGATGTATTTCATCCGTCGATGCACACCGCGTTCTGGCGACGACTCATCGGAACATTTTCACTTTCTATTCACACAAGCCTCAAGCGTCTTTCTTTCCATATATCTTCTCGCCACTACCTTTTTGAAGGACACAATCTCCATTAGTAAAAATATCAGCTATTTATTCGTTGTCATTATGGTTATTCTCTTGTTGTCTCCTCTTGCAATCCCTTTGAAAATGACATTATTCCCAGCAAGGCCTAAAGAAGGTGACTCTAGCCAAACGACCCCTTTGTTAACACCGTCTTCTTCATCAGCACAACTTGGTAGCTTTCGCGAGGGTGAAGAAATGTCAGACACAGAATTCTTGCTAGCTGTGGGTGAGGGTGCGGTAAAACCTAAAAGAAGACCGAGGAGGGGAGATGATTTCAGATTCCGCGAAGCTGTTGTAAAGGCCGATTTCTGGCTCCTTTGGTTTGCATACTTTCTCGGGGTTGGTTCTGGAGTTACTGTCCTTAACAACTTAGCACAGATTGGAGTTTCACTTGGTGTGGATGATACGACGATATTGCTGAGCTTGTTTAGCTTTTTTAACTTCTTGGGCCGTCTCGGATCTGGTGCAGTTTCTGAGCATTTTGTGAGGTAATCCTAATTTTCCCTGCTCTCTCCTCTAATTTTCTTTGTTTATTTTTTCTTAATAATAGTGATGAAAGCTGCCTGGTGGGGAACAAGTAGCAGCTCTTATTTTATACACTAATAAGCTGTTCCTCACTCGCTATTTGGCTGCTTCCATTCATTTCTCATTAATTTTGATTGACAATTCATCATTTGGCATTCTACATCAAAGTTGTTAGGACCAATAGTTGTATAGAACTCTTATTCCAGACCGTATATGTCACAATGTTCAGTCTTGCATAATCTGTTGTAACATGAGCTTGTGTTGCACATCCTGCTGCAACTGATGCTGGATTATATAAAATGTTGAAGTCATTCTACGTCAGTTAAATACATAAAGTAGTATAAAACGTCATACTATTTCTATCATAAGAAACTTTTAGGATGAAACACCAGTATGGTATCAAAGTATGTTAAACTACAATGAACAATTAAGTTTCATTAAGTCTTAACAACGAGCACATATGCTTCAATATCTGTGTCTCAATATTCCAGAGAAGTGTCATAACATCGACACATGAGGCTTCAAGTATCATATCTTATAAGGCGTAGCACCTAAAGGAGCTTAGACTGGGCCAAAATCAGTGTTCATAGGTGTGACATTGTTTGCTCTGCTTTAATCGTGAACTATCATGGAATAATGTAGGGAAGCGTAAAAGATTTTGATGGGTATTTGCAGGTCAAGAACAATTCCCAGGACATTCTGGATGATAGTAACCCAAACTATCATGATGTTGGCATTTCTCCTATGCGCATCAGCTCTTCCGGGGACTCTATACCCTGCAACAGCATTGCTTGGGGTTTGCTTCGGGGTTCAGTTCGGCATTATGATCCCAACTGCTTCTGAGCTCTTCGGGCTGAGGCATTTCGGTGTCATATTCAACTTCATGCAGCTGGGCAACCCCATTGGTGCACTTCTCTTCTCTGGTTCACTTGCCGGTTATGTATATGACAAAGAGGCTGCCAGTCAAGGTGCTGCTCATTGTATGGGCCCGAATTGCTTCAGGCTCACATTCCTGGTTTTAGCCGGAGTTTGTGCTCTGGGATCTTTGTTGAGTATAATTCTGACGGTTAGAATCAGACCGGTGTATCAGATGCTATATGCTGGTGGATCATTCCGTGTGCAGCAGAGTGCAGTCCATTGATAAGACGGGTTTATCAGGATACAAGTGCAAGGGCTTAAAACCCAGCTGTTCTCAATTTTTTGGGTGATCCTAGTATCGATTCACACGTATTTATTTCTGTCCCTTGAAACCAGACTGCTCTGGGTTTTTATTGATTCTATATTTCTATATCTGATGTAAACCACTTTAGTAGAAGTGTAGAATCATATGTTTGTTCGAATGTGATGGAAGTCAAATGCAAAAATGGATTAAAGAAGGGCCATCATATTTGCAATGTGAGATTTTACAATTCCAAAGTACATCACTTGTTTTGTAAAGGTATGTGATAAAAAAAAATAACTTGAACGTGTATGGAGCGGACTGTTATGTATAGTACGTAGTAGTATTCTACATTTCTATTTTTATTAACATTTGCATGTTAAGGACAAGTTTATTAATATAAACTTTTGTCATATACACGCCTATATTTGGTCATATAATTTGTTGATGAAAATTTTTAATTTACAAAAAATATGCACATATCTACAGTTTTGGAATACCTTCTTGGCTTCTTATACACAATTGTCAGAAATGCATGTTTGATTGTCATAGTATTATTTAAAGTACCTTATCGTGCTAGAGTATGTGGAACCATGTTGATATGAATTGATAAATGGTATTGGATCCGGTAACTCTGTAAGTTCCATTTGGGTTTTCTTTGGGAACTTCTATTTATTATGGAGTATTTTTTCCAGTTAAAATACCTTATCACTAGAGTATTTGGATGTTGGAACCATGTTAATTACCTCCCATTTTTGTTCTCGTTTTTGTCATCTTATTTAATCTAATCTACCTTCTCTCTCGGAAGTTGATGTGAATGTGAAGTGTGGCTCAAATCCTTGAATATAAAAGCTTCCTAGCAATTGACGATAACTTTCTGCTTTATGAGGTGATTTTTCATTTTTATATGAAATTTAGGACTCCAATTACATCTTAAAAAGATTAAAAGTAAAATTCAATATAAGTAGTGTTTAGTATGTTTAATTTTGTAAAACAAATTCCTAATAACTTATCAACTTAAATTTTTATTTCAATTTCTTTGCAATAAATTGAAGTCAAAGGCACGAGGAGTACACTTTTGAAGCTATTTGCCTATTTGTCCATACATTTTAACAACTTTTGTCTCAATTTGAAAGTTCATTTTATATTTATGGGGTGTGGACTTGAAATCTCAAGAATTAGAAGTAATTAGGGAGTGTTTGCAACTGCTTCTGCTTAAAAAAAAGCACTTTTGGAGAAGTAATGAAAAAGTGATTGGTAGTAAAAGTTGATAGTGTTTGAGAAAAAAGTGATTTTGAAAAGTAAAAGTTGGTAGTGTTTGGTAAAATAAGTGCTTTTTGTGTAATAGAAAAGGGAAAAGCACTTTTCACACGCAAGCCGAGAAAAAATAAAAATTGGTAGTGTTTGGTAAATAAGTGCTTTTTAAAGCCAAAAGCTGAGAAGTGCTTTTTTTTAAGCAGTTGCAAACACTCCCTTAGTGTGAGTGAACGAATTGTGTATATTCAACCCTCCTCAAGATAATTTTGAAAATAACAAATTAAAGCCTTGAATTTTACACACCTATACATGGATAAAAAAAGTTAGCTGCTTGTATATAGAAATTGTAGGTAAGTAAGCTAACCATCTTCCCGCCAACACTTATGTCTTGATGGGTAAATGGGTTGAGGCGGTTGAGCAACCACGGCAACCAGGGCCACCCTACAACACTCACCACACAAAGGAGAGGATTTTCGTCTCGTCACTCCGGTCGATTGAGTGGACAAGTAGGCTCTCTCGATGGGAGCCTAGAACCGGTACTAGAAGGTTCCGGTTTCATAGTTTTCATAATAAAAGAATGGGAAAACTGTCAAATAGACCCTCGAACTTTCATAAAAAGGTCAATTAAGTCCTTCTATAGTAGGTTATGTCCGGCCGTCGTGATTTGGGGCAGTTCCCAGTGGAATTTTTGATGAATTTTTTTGAGCATCTTATTCACCAAGTCTAGTTTACTCATACCAAATTTCAGCTAAAAACTCAATCGGGAACACATTCAAATTAATTCTTGAAGATAACTGCACATTTTTGCGTTCTCGAATTAATTCGAATGCGCTCCCGATTAAATTTTTAGCTGAAATTTGGTATGAGTAAACTAGACTTGATGAATAAGATGCTCAAAAAAGTTCATCAAAAAATTCCACCGGGAACTGCCCCAAATCGCGACGATCGGAAAAAATCTCCTATAGAAGGACTTAATTGACTTTTTTATGAAAGTTCGAGGACCTATTTGACAGTTTTCCCAAAAAGAATATTTGGTTCAGTTCGTATTCTGATTCCGATTCTGGGGACAAGTCTAATTTGACTAGATTTAAGTCTAATCTGGTCTGTTTGATCTGAATTGGTCTAGTTTGACAAGTACCTATTAGATGTGTATTTAATACTCCCTCCGTCTCGGATGGAACTTGACGTTTGCTTTTGGCGCAGTATTTTAGGAGCTCAATTAATAGAGGAACAAATGTCTTGCATGTCCTTTGACTTTTAAATGAAATTAATGTTATCCACTCAAATGTAAAAAGTGGGTGGGTGTAAAGGGTAGTTAGGTCATACTCCGTATAATGTAAAAGGAGATGTCTAAAAAAGAAACGCAAAGGAGTAAATGTGACGTCCCAAAAAGAATAGTGTAAAAATTTAAATGGGATAGAGGGAGTAACTATCAAAAATTGATCTAATTTGATATGATTTGGTGTGATATGATTCTATCGATTTATGATTGAATCATTCTAATTAAAAAGGGAAAACTGTCAAATAGGCCCCCTACTAATACATAAAAGTCAATTAAGCCCTTGAACTCACAAAACATTCAATTAAGCCCACGAAGTATAAAAAAGGGGTTATGTCTAAAATAATACTAAAAAAAGAGCTATGAACAAAAAAGAGACCTTTATTTCAATTTTCCAAAAATGAGACTAACAATGGGTTAAGAGACTATTATACTCTTATTTTAATAGAATCTCACCCATTAGTCTACAATAACGCCACCGTGACCAAAACCATTATCGTGACCAAAATTTGTCACTGACCAAAACTCATTTGTGACCAAAAATCCAAAAATCCGTCAGTGACCAAAATCATTAGTGACAAAAAATTCTACCTAGTTACCAACGTCAACCCGTCCAGTGACCAATCCGACTAGTGACCATGACCAATCCACCCAGTGACCAAAAATCATTTGTGACCAAAATTCCAAAAATCCGTCAGTGACCAAAATCATTAGTGACCAAAATTTTTACCTAGTTACCAACGTCAACCCGTCCAGTGACCAATCTGACTAGTGACCATGACCAATCCATCTAGTGACCAAAAATCATTTGTGACAAAAAATCCAAAAATCCGTCATTAACCAAAATCATTAGTGACAAAATTTTTTACCTAGTTACCAACGTCAACCCATCCAGTGACCAATCTGACTAGTGACCATGACCAATCCACTCAGTGACCAATTCGACCCGTCCAGTTACAGTTACCCCGACCCGTCCAGTTAGAGTTACCTGACCTGTCCAGTTACAGTTACCTGACCCGTCCAGTTACAATTACCTGACCTGTCCAGTTACAGTTACCCGTCCAATTACAGTTACCCGACCAGTCCCGTTACAGTTACCCGACCCGTCCAGTTACAGTTACACGACTTGTCCAGTTACAGTTATCTAACTCAAACATTAAATTACCCGACTCAACACGACCAGTTACCAGACTCAACGAGTTACGGTGACCCGGTCTAATACTTCGTAGTTACCGCCGCTACCAGGTCACAAGCCGCCACCCTTCACAACCCGACTCAACCGACACCCCTCCCTTGCATCCGCCTAGCCCCACCGGTCCATCCCAAACCCACCCCTGCCCCTGCCCCTGCCCCCACCAGTCCACCACAGACCTGCCCCTGCCACCCCAGACCCTCCCCTGCCACACCAGTCCACCTGAGACCCCCCTGCCCCACCAGTCCACCATAGACCCACCCCTGCCCACCAGCCAACACCAAACCTGCCCCTTCCCACCAGCCCGTGCCCCACCAGCCCATGTTGGCCATTCGCATTCGCAGTAGACTCCACTCGCCATGACCTCCATAGCCTCATCCTCCGGTGTTGACCCTCACCGCCAGTGACAAACTAGGTCAGAGAAGGCGACAGATTTCGATCACAGACCTAAGTTATGGACGGCGATGGATCTGGACAGAGTCAATGTCACCAGCTCAGGGTAGACGATGGCCGTGATGACGACGGATTAAATTCGATACGGCGGTGACCGCTCGAGATGGAGACGGTGGAGATCGTTCGAGATGGCAACGGAGGCGATCGTTCGAGATGGAGATGGTGGCAGATGAACCCTAGGCGACGACGACGGTGGAAGGCGAGGAGTCGGAGTCGGTGGAAGCTGAGGGGTCGGCAGTGACTCGAAGCTTAGCAGCGACGACGAAGAGCTGAGCGGCGGAAGCTGGCTGCGTGAGGGGTGATGCGAGGATCCAGATTTGGATTTTTGGAGAAGGAGAACAGGAAATTTCAGGGTTTTACCGGAGAGCATAATGTAGGGGTAAATTAGGATATTTCACAAAAATTAGTCTCGTTTTTGTCCAGTTTATAAAGTGGTCCTAATCTTGTCTTTTGAGTTCCGATTAGTCTTATTTGCGCCATTTTTTCTATAAAAAACAAGGCAAACCAGTCCTTTTAGCAGGTAATTAAGCGGTAAAAAGAGATAAGGAAAAAAGGAAAGAAAGATAAAAAGAGAAAAAGAAAATGTAAAAGCATGCCACATCATTTGCCACACATGCAATTTAATTGGGAACGGTTAATATCCTGCTAATAGGACTGTTTTGCCTCGTTATATTTAGTTCGTGGGTTTAATTGGATGTTTTTTTAGTTCAGGGGCTTAATTGACTTTTTCATATTAGTAGGGGGGCCTATTTGACACTTTTCCCAATTAAAAATATTGTTCAGTTTCTCTCAAACAAAAAAAAATATTGTTCAGTTACCGATCCAAACAAGGCGCAATTACAGGTAGTCAACAAGTCATCTACTCCTCTTCGGCCTACTCAAAATTTTGACCCCACCGTTCGTCTTCCTAATTACCCCCCGCGCTCTTGTTCCCATCGCCTACGGAAGATTTCTCTTCATCCTGTTCGGCTCATTCACCAGCCATGGATCTGCAACTATGGGAGAGCTTGAAAGAGGCAATCAAATCATTCACATCTCTATCTCCAGCAACTTTATTCACTATTGCTGCTCTATTCATTGCCATCTATTATGTGACTTATGCACTTTTCGGGTCCTCCGATCATAGCAACTACCAGAGGGTCAGGGAGTTGGAGGAGGAGAGTAAGCCTCTTCCTCCGCCGGTTCAGGTCGGGGAAATCAGCGAGGAGGAGTTGAAGCAGTATGATGGGTCTGATCCTAACAAGCCTTTGCTTATGGCCATCAAGGCTCAGATCTATGATGTAACTCA